CTCCTGTGCAGTGCTCTCCTTCTCCCCGCTGGGGAAGGGGAGGGCGGACGCATGGTCGGGTCCGACGGAGGGGGGCGGCAGCAAACGCTTGAACGGGGGGCTCGCGAATCAGCTCACGAGCGGCACACACCTGCACTCGACAAACCTTTTGCCTTCTTTGTCCGCCTCCCCGGTCCCACTTGCGCAGAAAGCTCGCGCCATTCCGGCTCCCGACCGGCCAGGAGGTTGGCTCTGGCGGGCTGCCGCTCTCCCTGGCCATCGTTCGGACGTCCATTTCCTGTGTTTTTTTCGGTTTCGTGCGTGGCTTTTTCGCGACATGATCAAGGATGCTCCTCGATGGTCCTCGCCGAAGGAAAAATGCACACGTCCGAGCGATGCCAAGTCCCTGGTGCCTCCAGGCGCTGGGGGGCGCCAACCCATCGGGGAGCGCGCCCCGCGGCGAAGCCGACACCGGCCGCACGCGGCCGACGGTGCCCCGCCCCCCTCCCAATACAGTCGGGGCGTTGACCTAAGGAACCCCAAATAAGGAACGAGGTCCCTTTTTTTCCATAAGTTAACCCTCGATCTCCCATCGAAAACATTAGGAAACCCTGAGGCAAGCTGTGAAACAAGTTAGGAACACGGAGCCCCTCCACAACGAAAAGGGTTCCTTCTTCAGCGCACCGACTGTAGTGCCCCCCCCTCCCAATTCCCCCCCTTCCCAAATCGTCCCCCTCCCGATTCCCCCCCGATTGTGACCCCCACCCCCGCTCCCAATTCCCCCCTCGCCCGCGCTCCCAGTTCCCCTCGGATTGGCTGGATGGGCCCAGAAAGGCTCGGTCAAAAGGGGGGGGCGGAGCGAAGGCAGATCCACTGAAGCAGTCCCTGGACCCCTCCTGGGGCCGAAAGTGATATTTTTTTCGAGCCGCGCCTGGCCGTGGCGACGAGGGGGCCACTTTCTTCCCCCCCCTCTCCGGCCAGAACCAGCGCTGGGCCACCTCGCCCCCGCAACCGGCTCCAGCCTCAGAGCCCTCCACATCGAGTGTTGCAACAGCTCTTCTGTCAGTGGTTGAAAGATGGGGTCTTGAGGGATGAGGTCCTGAGGACGAGATGCATCAAGCAGTGTCAGGCCGCCCTTGGATCCCTTCCTGTCCTTGGGACTCTATCCCTCAGGACCTCATGTTTGAACCACCGACTCAGGGCCCAATCCCCGAGCTCTGCGAAGCCCACGCCAGCGGCGCCCACGAGGCAGTGACGCACATGGGCGGGGGGGCGGCCCCCCGGAAAGGCGGGGGGAGGGGGGGGCTTCTGCCCAGAGATGCCGCCGACGCAGGCCCAACGCATCCTCAACGCATCGGCTGTGTCATCGCTTTCTGACTAGAACCAGCAGGGCACCCGCGAAATGATCGGACGCACTTTGAGGGGCAACGGTAGGGGGTGACTGGCATAGGGGGGATGCATCATCTGGAATCGGCGATACATCGCCGATAGATCGGCGATAGGCATCCGGTAGCGAATCCGCACCTTCCTGTGCAGGTTGGGGCTATCGGGCACCTATCGGCGGTCCATGGGCGATCCGGGGCCGATGCATCCCCCCCTATGCCTATTCCCCCCTGTCGGTGCCCCTGAACTTTTCTCCTGTGGCGCATCCTGTGCGCTGTGGATGCGCTGGGGCGCATCGTGGGTGCGGCAGAATTTGGGCAGGGACCGACCGTCCCGGCATTCCTGTAGGCCTACCACGACATGTTCTTTGAACCCAGAAATGTTCTGAGAACAAAATCGATGTTCTCAGAACACATTCCCGATGCGTTAAACCAAGAAGGTCCCGACCAGAAATGTTATGAGAACGTCTCGTGGAAACGCCACAACAGGCTCTTAGCACACTGCTTGGCGGGCCCATGGGCCAACCAAGACGCTTCGCCACCGCTTGAAGCAGGGGCCTCGGCGTCGCTGCCGCTCCCCGAGGTGGCGGCGGGCCGCGCGCGCGCGGGGCTCGGGGCGACTGGCTGGCGCTCCTCCTCGTACACGCCCTCCAAGGGCAGGAAGCCCGTGTACTTCACCTCCGGTCGCCGGAGGCCAGCTGCTCCCCTGCGCCTCTCCCGCCCCGCCCCTCCATGCCATCCGCCTCCCCCGCCATCTCTCTCTCTCTGTATATATATATATATAAATACACACATATAATACTATAAGAATAGACGTGTGTATATATATATATATATATACAAGACTGCATTGGCGCTGCGCGCCATGCACCTTGGTCCTTTGGAATTCGCACGCTAGCGGAGTGCGAGCATGCGTACGTGCGCACACACATGCGTCTGTGAAAGCATAGAACATATGCACATAAATATACATGTACGTTTGTATGGATATGTACATGCATATGCAAATGGTCAGTGTAACTATGTGTGCGCACACACATGCGTATATCAGGCGGTAGTGGCCTGACCAGTTGCTCATATCAACGCGCCACTAAAAGGCGCGAGGGTCTCAGGCAAACGTGGTCAGACTACCATGGGACAGTGCGTCGCCGAGGTCAGTGTTGCGAGGCGTCCTGGGTGAAAATGGCCTGAACACCTCCGCTCAGGGGAGGGCATATCCGAAGTCAGCCGTGCGAGGAAGTTTCAAACGAGGGGTGGTCTGAACACCTCTGCTCAGGGCATCCTTGAACTTAGAGTTGCGAGAAGTCGCGCGCGAAAGTGGCCGAACCACCATGGTGCAAGGCACCTCCGAAGTGAGACTTGCGAGAATGTCTCAGGTGACAATGTCTGGAACACCTCAACTGAGAGTGTCTCGGGCCCCAGAGCTGCGATGATGTCTCAAGCGAAAACGGCGGGACCGATGCGAAGCAAGGCGCTTCTGAGGTCGGAGTTGCGAGCATATCTCTGGCGAAGCGGATTAGACTACTTTCCGTTATCTCCTCTTCCTCCTTCCCCTTTTCCTTTCCTCCTCCTCCTCCTCCCCCTCCTCCCCCTCCTGTTCCTCCTCCTCTTCCTCTCCCCCCTTCTGCTAGACCTTTGGCGTGGCGGAACGTGAAACACCACAGGGAATTAGGAGAAGGAGGAGGAGGAGGTAGAGGAGAAAGAGAATGAGGAAGAGGAGGAGGAGCTCTTGGGTCCTTCGGTGGTTTGAACGAAAAATGGCCTCGCTGCGCCATTTGATACGACAACGACGACGACGAAGAAGGCGACGACAAAGAGAAGGGAGAATGAGAGGGGGAGACCGCTGTGTTGGGATCTCGTGGTGCGCCTCTCGGGCCCCTCTGGGAGGCAGTTTTGAAGCCTCTTCGGGGGGTTTTGGGGTTCTTGGGATCTTTTTGGGGCCTCTTGGGGGCCTCTTGGGGGTTCCTTGGGACCTCTTGGGAGCCTCTTGGGGCCCGGGCCTCTTCGGGCCCTCTCGCGGCGGAAAATTTAGTTTTTGAGTTTTTGGGCGCCCTCTTGGGTCTCTCTTGGGGCCGTCTTGGTGCTCTCTTGGGCCGTCTTGGGCGCCTCTTGGGCGGTCTCGGAGCCCTCCGGGACCGTGTTGGGGCCTTCTTGGGGGCCTCTTGGGCAGTATTGGGGCGATCTAGGGAGCCTCTTGGGCCATTGTGGAGCGTCGGGAAGCGGGAAAAGCGAGAAGGCCAAAAGCATCGGCCTCTCGGGGCTCTCTTGGGAGGCCTCTTGGGGTCTCTGGGGGCGTCTTGGACGCGTCTTGGGCAATCTTGGGCCCAGATTGGGCGTCTTGGGCCGATCTTTGGGTGTCTCGGGGCCCTCTTTGGCCGTCGTGGGGGCTTGTTTTTTCGCGTCGCACTCGCAGGACAGACACGGAGCACTCTGCAGGAGCGCCCCAAAGGCTCGGGGATACCGAAATTCGTTTTTTTTTTTTTTGGGGGGGGGGGGCACCGTGTGCCGCTTTTCCGGGGTCCCCGGCCCTGTATATATATGGACAGCCCCCCCCCAGCACCCATTCATCGCCTTCTTTCTCTTGGCGATGTTCTACACTCTTCTTCCTTTCCTTTCCCTTCCTTCTTTCACTCCCCTTCCTTTCCCTCCCCTTCCTCGCTTACATTTTCCCCTGGCGTCAGCGGGGGCGTTTTTTCGACTCCACTCGCGCGCGCTCTGGCCGCAAGGCTGGCCAACGCCTAACGGCAGCGCGCTGTAGAACATGCACACGGCGCCTTCCCCCGAATGAGGGAACCCTGAGCTTGTGGCGAGCATTCTGCACGCACAGTGGGCCCAAGAGGCACCGAACCCTGTGATTTCACAGGGATGCTTTGGATTTCTGTGATGTTAATCCCACAAACCCTATGATTTCACAGGGATGCATGGGATTCCTGGGATTTCCTACCTCCGACAATAATCTACCCAGGGCCCCCCCCCCTCCCCTTTCCAAGGCCGCGAATCCCAAGCATCCCTCTGAATTCACAGGGGTGCTTGGGATTCGGAATCCCGGGGAGCTTCAGGGTGGAATTGTGTCGGAGGGTGGGGGATCCCAGGAATCCCAAGCATCCCTGTGAAATGACACGGTTTCTGGGTTTCTCATCCCAGAAATCCCAAGCATCCCAATGAAATCACACGGTTCGGTGCCTCTTGGGCCCCGGAGGAGGCGGACGGGAAGGGCGAGGCAGACGAAGAGGAGGAGGAGGGGGAGGCGGAGGAGGGGGAGGAGGGGGAGAAGGCTGAGGAAAACTAAGAGAAGGAATCGGGGCACGCTGCAGCATGCCACGCAGGGAAAAGCATGCGCACTACACACAGTGACGCGGAAACGAACTGAGCGGCTGCATGGGAGATGCGGCGCGAATACTAGAAACAGTATTGCACAGGGCAAGAGGAGGAATATATATATATATATATATATATATATGAGGCCACCGTTCGCAATCGCAGAGGGCGGAGGATCACGGGGAGCAGCAGCGGCAGCAGCAAGGCTAGGCAGATCCCTGGGGGCGCTTGCTAAAGCAAACATCATAGTGCCACGCCGCTCGCGCCAACGCCATGCACGGCGACTCCGCGCGGGCACGCGCGCGCGACCTGAGCCATCGCTCACCAGCCGTGCTTCTTGCTCCAAGCCTCCTGCAGCATGGCGCCCGTCTCGTGCCAGAGGTCCTTGCCGCGGTTCCAGTGCGCCCACTGGAAGCTGCGGACCTTCTGCATGAGGTGCGCGGAGCCGACGGCCTTGTTCTTGCCGACGAAACGGCGGAGCTCGCGCCAGACGCCGTCGATGATCTGCGTGCCAGTCTTGACCCAGATCCTCTTCTTGGCGCCAGCCTTCAGCGGGTCGGGGACGTCGTGGTACCGCTTCTTGCTGTACGACGGCTTAAGCCATACCCACTTGCCCTTCACCTTGGCCTTCTTCTTCTTGTGGACGACCCAATTGTGGACGACGCCCTGCTCCTTCAGCTTATAAGACCGCGCGCCGTCCGTGTGGAAGATAACGTTCCTGTTCTTCAGCCACTTCTTCGAGAGGGGCGCCCAATCCGCCTTGCGGATGGGCCCAGGGCCTGGGGCCCGACGCTTGGTCTTCTTCGGCTGGAGGCGGAACAGCACAAGAGACTCGGGGGCGCCACGCTGCACGATCCCGCCCCACTGCTCCCAAATGATGGGGGTCGCAGTGCGGGGCCCCGCGTCGGGGTCCTCCATCTTGCCCAGGTCCACCTCGTCTGCTTCGACGTCTGGCCACTAAGCGCCCTCGCCGAACTTGATCTTCGGCTCAGTGGCGCGCACGTGCGCGGCGCGCGCAGCGTGGAGCGAGTTGTAGATGTTCTCGACGGCCTTGTGGTTCCTCCGCGCCAGGAGGCGCGTGGTCGTCTGTGGACAGCCTGCGACCGCGCAGAAGAGGATGGCGGACTGGCCTGCCAGAGACGAGAACGACTGGCCCGTGCCCTTACAGAAAATGGGATGGAAATCCTGCGGCGCCACGTGGCGAGTGCACCAATCGCGGCTGCAACGGTGCCCCCACCCGCCCTTCTTCTCCCCGTGGTCCCTCAGAGGCCCCAAGACGCCCTCGCCGCAGTGAGGGCACGTCGCCCCCTCCCGATTCGGCACGATGCTCTCTCTGCGCAGCTTGTTAATTACGAACTTCTCAGAACGATTGACGAAGTCCTTGATGCAGCTCGCCCACGCAGCCCTGTCCTTGCGACCCCTCGCAAGGGCCGCGGCGCCGTGCCGAATGTAAGGCACAGTCTTTGGTGGGACAACCTTCTTGCCGATGGTCTTCTTGACGGCGCGGCCCTTCGCAGGCGCCTTCATTGCATTCATGGGCGTCTTCATTGCCTTCGTGCGAGAGCGCGGCGGCGCCATGGCTGCGCGGGCCTTGCCCCTCTTGGGAAGCGGGAAGAACCGAGACATCGCTCGCGGTCGCGCGAGGGGGGCGGACCGCGCGCTCTGACCTGATAGCCAAACGCTGCTACGACGCATGCCTGGCCCACGGCCGCGCAAGGAATGCAACCCCCGCAGACGCGCTCCGTTTTTATTATTTTCTCCAAACGTCGCTGCAATCATGGAAGCTGACAACAGAGCGGCGCACGACGGCCTCATCTGGGGCGCAACGGAATGCGCCCGAAACCGTCGCGCGGTCTGTGGCGCTTTGTAAGGCAGTTGCACGTATGAGAGCGACACAGCGCGAATTCGGAACGGGCAGCGCGGCACGCAGGCGCCCCATCTGGCCGAATTAGCGCAGCTGCGACCGCGGCCGCATGCGTGCGCCTACGCCCGAGACACACGCGCGCGCGCTGCCCGTGTTCTGCTGACCAGGCGCTCACGCAGCCTGAGCCTCACGCTCACGCAGCCTGGGCCCCGCTGCTCGCAGACGATGCAGCACCCCTCTGCCCCTCCTCATCCAGGATCTGCTCGAGCTGCCTCTCCAGCGTCATATCGCGCTTCTTAGGCGAAGGGGTGCTGAGGTCGATGCAGGCGCCTGGCTGGATCTTCAGGTTCTTCCAGACGCCAGGCTCCCGCTTGGTGCGCTTGGTCGGAGCCGCCTCTGGCGTGCGCGGCACAACTGGAGCAGCCTCAGGGGCGTCGCCGAAGAAGTCATGCTCGTCGAAATCATCAGGGGGGCTGGGCACCGCTGGCGCGCCCGCGGCCGCCTCCGCATCCGCATCGCCCTTCTCGGCTGCGTACTCAAGCGCCGCGGCGGCGGCGCGGGCAGACTTCATGTGCTTCGCCATGAGCTCGGCCATGTCCTTCTTCTCGAACGAGAGCAGACGGCCGAACTTCTCGGCATCGCGGCGAACGCTGGAGCCCTGCAGGTACGCCCAGAGAACCTTGCCTGCATCTGGTTTCAAGTACCCCTCGTACAGCGGGTACTTCGCGACAGCGCTACCCTGGCCAGCTGGGCGGAAGTACAGAGCAGTCTTCGTGTTCAGCAGGATGTCGCCCCGCTTCAGCATCGCCCCGGTCTGACTGCTGGAGAAGTGCTTGGGGAAAGCAGGCAATATCATGTCGATGAGGAACTGCGTCGTCTTCTTCGCATTGTCGCTACTGGTGACGGCGAATGCCCAGTCTTCGAGCGACGGCTCTGCGGACGCATTGTACTCGTTTTCCCCGCCGAACCTCGCATGGCCCCGCACGAACTTGGCCGCGCCCCACCTGACATAGGTCATCGCCTGCATCTGTGTCGGGTCGAAGAACGCCTGCGGCGGAAGGGGAAAAGAGGCTGCGCAGGTCCCCCGATCGATGGAGGTATCTCGCACCGCGCAGGACGCGCGCGGGATAACACCAGCGTCGAGCAACGCGGCCACAACCAGCTTTTTCCCCGCCCGCACCTTGAGCACGCGGGGCCGCTGGTCGGAGAGGTCCCCGTCGTCGAATATGCAAGGAGCCCATTTCTCCCCGACCTCCCCGCGGAAGAAGTCCATCTCGGCCGACACCCGCACCGCCGCGACGACCTCGTTGCCCCGCGCCTTCTCCATGTCGGCGTGCCAGCGCGCGATGGCCATTGCCAGGATGTTCATGAGAGGTGTCTTGCCAAACTTGGCCTCGCCAATTGTGAGCAATGTGTTCGTCAACAGCGTCTTGATGATGCGCTTTGCGATGTCCAGATACTCTGGGCGAATATCATGAAGCAGGCACGGGTAATACGTCTCTTTGACAGCGAAGTGGTCCCTGTCCTGGATCTTCTTGAGCACCCTGTCAATGAGCTCGCGCCTGAAGTGGTGGACGGGGCTGTCTGGATCGACGAGCTGATGCTCGACCCACAGCATTTGCTCGCAATCAAAATTCCAGCGCGGCGCATCTGCCATGATGAAGTCGAAGCCCACGCGCAGCTTCCTCTTCTTCTCCTCCACGCCGTCCTCGCCACCAGGCGCGACGGCCGCTGGCGCCGCGACTGGCGCCGCGAACTCCCAGTACTTGAACAAGATGCAGCCCATGTTGTCGAACAGCAAGTGCATCGTTTTCAGCGTCGTGTGACGGTCGCGGGTCCAGTCGGGGACGCAGGGCTCGCCAACGATCAGCTGCTGCTGGATGACGCTGAACTTCTCCCTGTTGAGGAATGATATGAACTTCACCACGATGTAATCTTCGCCCGCGGGCTTCGGCACGTGAAGGTTGAGGAGCATCGGGATCTCTGTCTTCGTGGGGAGCCCCAGTGGCGGCGGCAGGCTGTTGTAGCCCCCCTTCGACGTCATTTCCCTGACCGAGCCCCAGTCGACAGCGGACAGATCTCCTGGGGACGAGACTACGTCAACGACGTAGCTGGTTGTCTTCTGGGTTCGGCCCTCCCAGTGCTTGATGGGCAAGTCCCACGCGGTCGAGCTGCCTGGCCTGTCGATTGGGCCGACCATCATCGATTCCGCGAGCGCCACGGCGGGCTTCTTCGCATTCGCAACCGCGAACGTGCGGTGGAGGACGTCTTCGGTGTGGTTCGGGCGCTCCATGGCCTTGCCAAGGGAGGTCATCCCCATTGCCTGAACGTTCGCCATCACAGGGGACTCCTGGCTGGCCTGGAGGAGAAGGCAGCGAGCTTGAGCCAGTGTGCCTGCGGCGGGGAGAGAGGGCGGAAGGCGGGCAGTTTCGACGGCAGAGCGCTATCGTGTTTGAACCCCACGAATAGGGGGATCTTATTCAAGATCCCCCGACTAGGGGGATCTTGTTTAAGATCCCCCTAATGTTTGCCAGGGCCAACACAACGTAGCATTTCGAGACGGTCGTGGCCCGTCACGCGACCGCTGCGCGCGATATCATGCGAATCGATCGAAACGGGGGCCGCGCCCGCCAGGCGGCACAATGCGTCAGCATGTGTGTGTGTGTGTGTGTGTGCGTGTGTGTGTGTGTGCGTGTGTGTGTGTGTGTGTGTGTGTGTGTGTGTGTGTGTGTGTGTGTGTGTGTGTGTGTGTGTGTGTGTGTGTGTGTGTGTGTGTGTGTGTGTGTGTGTGCGTGTGTGTGTGTGTGTGTGTGTGTGTGTGTGCGTGTGTGTGTGTGTGTGCGTCTCTCGTTAGCAGCCCCGCGCAGGGGGGGGTCGTGGGCGCGTGCCTGACTGCATGCCCATGCAGCCATCCCGAAGGGATAAATTCCCCCTCGAGACCCACTTCGCTGGGTCCATGGTGAGCCAGGCCCACCGCTTCCTGTCTTTGGGAGTAGCCCAGTGGAGGAAGCGGCCCTGTTTCGTGCGGAAAACCTTAAGCGCAGCCTGGGCCTTGTCAAACTCAGCCTGCTGCTTCTCGAGGAGCTCCCCCTGCTGCTTGTTCTCCTTCGCGAGCCGCTGGTTCTCCTTCTGCAGCTGCTTGACCTGCTCGCCCTGGTCGTGTGCCTTCTGGGTCTCTTTAGAGAGCTGCCCCCTGAGCTTCCTGATCTTCTCGCGCAGCTCGTCGCAACGCTTGTTGCTCTGGAGGGAAACGTCGGCCACTGCGTCGCACAGGCGCTTGTGCGATGCATTTTTGAACTCTTTGAGCGCGTCGTGCAGCTTCTGTTTAACCCAAGGCCTGCTCAGGAACGCCCTCAATGCCTTCATGCGGGCTCTGTTCATGTCGTTGACACGCTTGCGCTCGAGCGCATCCGTCGACGACGAAGGCGCGATGGCAAGAAGTGGGCAACTTGAGCCAAGAGGGGGCTACGATAGCAGAAGGAACGCGGAGGATCGCAGGGGGCGCGACGAGGGGGATTGGGATGGAGAGCGAGGGACGCAAGAAGAGGGCGAGGGAGAGGGAGGAATCAAGACAGGGAGGAAGATGGGAGGAATAAGCATGAAGGAGTATAGGACGTCGATGGGCCCTCCGTGGCACCCATGGGCCCCGCGACCCGCAGGTGTCTCATCTTCCTCTTCCTCCTCCTCCTCCTCCCCCTCCTCCTCCTCCTCCTCCCAGATATTGCGACGCTTAGGGGGGAAAGGCATGAAGGTGAAGAAGACGTGGATGGGGGAGGGAAGCATGAAGAGGAAGAGCGAGGGATCAAGACAGGGAAGGCGATGGGGGGAAGAGAAATGAATGATGGCAAGAAGTTGAGGTCAACGATCGATGCAAAATCAAACGGGTGCTGGGGGGGGGGGGGGTGGGGCTGCGCTAATGGACAGAGCCCCCCCCCCCCCAGCACCCATTCATCGCCTTCTTTCTCTTGGCGATGTTCTACACTCCTCTTCCTTTCCTTCCCCTTCCTTCTTTCACTCCCCTTCCTTTCCCTCCCCTTCCTCGCTTACATCTTCCCCTGGCGTCAGCGGGGGCGTTTTTTCGACTCCACTCGCGCGCGCTCTGGCCGCAAGGCTGGCCAACGCCTAACGGCAGCGCACTGTAGAACATGCACACGGCGCCTTCCCCCGAATGAGGGAACCCTGAGCTTGTGGCGAGCACTCTGCACACACAGTGGGCCCAAGAGGCACCGAACCCTGTGATTTCACAGGGATGCTTGGGATTTCTGGGATGTTAATCCCACAAGCCCTATGATTTCACAGGGATGCCTGGGATTCCTGGGATTTCCTACCTCCGACAATAATCTACCCAGGGCCCCCCCCCCCTTCCCCAAGGCCGCGAATCCCAAGCATCCCTGTGAATTCACAGGGATGCTTGGGATTCGGAATCCTGGGGAGCTTCAGGGTGGAATTGTGTCGGAGGGTGGAGAATCCCAGGAATCCCAAGCATCCCTGTGAAATGACACGGTTTCTGGGTTTCTCACACCAGAAATCCCAAGCATCCCAATGAAATCACACGGTTCGGTGCCTCTTGGGCCCCGGAGGAGGCGGACGGGAAGGGCGAGGCAGACGAAGAGGAGGAGGAGGGGGAGGAGGAGGCGGAGGAGGGGGAGGAGGGTAGAGGGGCGAACCGTGCGATTTCATTGGGATGCTTGGGATTTCTGGTATGAGAAACCCA